TCCATTCAACTTTAGAACTGCGTACAATCATTCAAACACTTGTGCAATTATTCATTCAATTAGCCATCCGTTTATTCAATAAATATTGAGTACCCACTGGTGGCTGGGGCTCCGTTAGATTATGTGGTCGAGTCGAGTAGCTAATGTGGCTATCGAGCACATGACATTTGTTGGTCCGAATCAAAGTGTACACAGTGGATTTCAAAGACTTGGTATGAAGAAAAAGTAATGTCAAATATATCATAAATAAATTTGCATATATGGCTTCACTACATTTCTGTTGAACTACTCAGTTACACACTTGCAGAAAATTTCTTCCTGCTATTATGTTTTTGTGGACACATTGAGGACAGCTTTCCAGGAAGAAAATAAAAGATAAAGAAGGCAGAAGGGGTGATCTGTTGTGGCTATAAGATATTACTTGGGTTTAGGTGATTTCATTTTTTGTTCTGAAAACTTCAGTTTGAAAAGTTAAATACATGATCTAGTATTCTGGAATTGATAAACTATTGATAATTTATAGGTGCTGCAATAATTTCTGCTTTTTGGCATTTTCTGAGTTGTCATTAGATATCCTAGATTTCTGGATATCCACAGATTCCTGTTTGCCTGTGACAACACTAAAAGAAATGGCTTAGAAATTGACCTAATATTATAGGAATTAAATGAAGCTAATTTTGATTCTTATTTGAAATTGAGACATTTAAATCGCTTTATGTCTACACTAATCTGTAAGAAGTAAACAATAAATAGAACAGTAATTAGTATGGGAATATTATTTGGCAACTCAGGAATACTAAGAGATTAACTAGTTTTAGCAACAATCTCTAAATGAAAAGCAAGAAGACTCAACTTCAGGTCTTTTTAAAATTAAAAATGAATTAAAATTAATTGAACTGAAAAATTCTAATACACTCAGATCAACAAATTTTAAGAGCCATATAAACTAAAATAGTCCTTTCTGCTGCTATTCACAAGTGGTATACACTTTATAGCCTTCTTTTCTGACTGGTCACCCTCAATCACTTCCTCTTTGGAGCAGTGAAATTAGTCTGCCATTTGAGAACGACAGAAAGCCAAAACCAACACCTTCTAGCACAGATTCCCCAAGCACCCAAATGCTCTGTCTATCCATGTCCCACATGACTTTACTTGTCCTGAGCTTTCTCTTATCTAGTGGGTTGGAGAGAAGATTTTAAAACTCACCTTGGGGATTTAGGAAAGTGACAGAATTAAGAATTTGAGCTTCATAGAACACAAGAAATGGTCAATGATTCTACGTGGAGGGACACAGTGTTAAAAGAAAGAAGAAATGAGATATGGGGTTGATTTTTTTTTTTTTTGGTAGGATTGGAAAACATGCCATGGTCGCCAGATACTGTGGCAGAGACAGATGGCATGGCAGATGCTGCAAAAGAAAAGTGACTTTCTACTAAGTAAACCAGGAAAAAAAAAAAAAAAGGACAGAAGAAAAAGTAGACATGCGCCCCTCTATGTCAGGAACATCTTCCCATAGCCCTAAACTATCTGATTGTATTCTGTAGTGTTGCAGGTTACAAATGAAGTGTCCTACCACTTTATCCAGTGACAGTACGTTTGGAATGGGACTTTAAACACATTTAGGTCGAAGTTGTTTAAAATGTCCCGTAGAGACACCCAAAGGCAGACACGTGGTCCTTGACATTTGTGTGGTTAGTGGCAGAGACTGTAGTATCCACTTAGAGGGTAATAAGTGATAGAGGAGATCTAGTACTGAGGTGGCCAGGCTCTCATTTGAAAAGGGCATAGATTCCTTTGGTTTAAAATAAATGCCACAGAAAAATCAAAAGTTAACATGGAGTTAAGAAGGAAAGGATGAAACCAATTGAAATTATCTACAGTGCTGAGGATATATAGTTTTAGCATGTATAGATTTAATGTATGGAAATTAAACAATATGTGCTTGGCAGTTCTTCTTGTATCATTTCTATTAAACAGAAATGGGAGCAAAGGAGCCTAAAATAGCCAACATGGATTGCTGAAACAGGAAAAGAATGTGAGTGCTTTTAAGAATTTCATGTCATTATAAAAAAAAAGTGACTGGATAAGTATTTGATGATGGTTTCTGGAGAAAAAGCAGAATCAATAATTAAAGGCTTTAGAGTAACACTGAATAACAGTTACTAAGGGGTTTTCAAGAGCAGTTTTGATTATGTGTAGCATTTACCTTATATATTGTTTTCAGAAACACTAATAGCCATCTTCAAGTAGACTTCATTGCATATGTACAACTTTCATTTATGTACACATACACATGACTTACAAAAATAATTAAAAAATGAATCTTAACATAAAAGCTAGAAATAGCCTGGACAACAACCCCACCCCACCCCATTTTTTGAGAAACAAATGTGCCCAAGTCCATCTGGCTACCCTTGTCTCTTCATTTTCTATTTCTATTTCCCATTTTAATACTTTCCTCTGTTGCAGTAAAGTAGAAAGAGCTAATTGCAAGAATGATCCCAGGCACCAGTTTCAAACATTTCCATTGAATCTACTTTGGAACAAATAAGCCTACTGAGCTTGAGGGTACAGTGCATACTTTCTGAAAGGTAGAGAAAACTCACATGGAAACTACTTCGCTCTGGAACATGTCCTATGTGAGAATTGCCCATGAAAATCCCTGCTATGTTCTCTAAAAAGACTCAAGCTCGGAGCTCAGTGGGCTTGCTTGGGGTAGGTTTCCCCTTGGAGGTGAGGAGGAGCAGGCTACACTCCAAACAGGAGGTGGTCAATTGCTGCTGAGCTGGCTACTGAATGCCATATTTCAGATCCTTTGCAAAAGTGGCAAATCTTCATTGTTTGATACTCTTCATTATGCTTTTGTAATTTGGACAATGACTCCTTATAGAAGAGCTTCCTATTTTTTTAAATGGAATTTTATATGAGAAAGTTAGGGAACATATGAATTTTCTCTGATTCTAGTAGAGGCTAGACAATACTGTAGTTACAAACTATCAGATAGCTGCAATCTATTTTTAAAAAAACACCTTAAAAGTTCCTTTTAATAAAGTTCAAGACATAATCAGAGTTTATATAAGAGACATCATTATCTTTTTTTCTCAGTACTGGGGATTGAGCCCAGTGCCTCAATTATGCTGCCACTAAGTTACATCCCTAGCTCTCTTCAGACAAGGTCTGCTAAGTTGCCCAGACTGGCCTCAAAGTTGACAATCCTCCTGCCTGAGTTTCTGGAGAGCTAGAGTTACAGATATGTGCCACTATGCCCAGCCAAGACATTGCCTTGTTAGTGTTGCAGTTTGAGAATTTCCTCCTTCTATATTTAAAGCAAAGTTTTTTCTTTGAGAGATTCTATTATATCCTTCCTTTCATTGATATGCAAGTTTACTCTAAAATATTACTGCAATGTATCTGTAAAACTAAAGGTAAGGTTGTGGGGGCAGGGGAAAACTCCTGAAAAACTTCAGATGTTCTGTCCTGACCATGCACATGGTGTAATTACCAAAGTCATTTTTCCAAAAAAGAGAAATTGTCACTAGGCATTTAAAATGTGAAGCAATTTTAGTGTTTCATAGACCCCACTAAATAGCGTTTTTTGACATTTTTGCTGACTAGCTTTAGTGTTGATTTCCCCTGTCTTTCAGAATTGCATGACACTTTATCTCTCCAATAAGCAATGCTTGTACTGATAAAGTATTTTGATTTGCTTTATCACACACCTAATCTTGGCTTTGACAAAAAAGGCATGGGTCCTTATGTCATTTCAATGGAGAATAACCAACAATGATACCACTTTATAGTAAACTCCTAATTTTCCAGAATCAAGAATGCAGAAAACTCTAGGAAGAAATAAGATATAAATAGATAGGTAATAGATATTTAACAGTTCTATGTAGTTTCTAAAGAAATCAATGGGAAGAAAAATAGCAAAAAATAAAATGGCAAAGAAGTTTCTGTAACATTTTATATGCTCAGAAGTTTAACCTAGAAAAATTTGTACATACATTAATCATTTATGCTTTTCCATAACGTTTATAATCCTATAGCAAGAATAAATCTCTCAGAACCCAATTTATTACAACAGCCCGGACTACCTTTTGGATTATTAAATAAAAATTAACTTTAGTTTAATTTTATATGAATTATATTATTATCTGAAGACTGATAATATCATATTATAACTCAACTAAAATATTCCTGTTCTTATACTCAAATAGCTCTACTTGTAGTCATCGCAGGTGAATATAAACAATGATTCCAAGCCTCAGTTAACTGGAACATTTAAGAAATGTGTCCCTGCAAGCCACTCTTTCTAAAACATCCTAAGAGGGTTTCATAAACAAATGTATGCTGCAGAAAATCTAGTTGAAGGAATATTCTAAAAACTTCCACAGGATGAAGTTGAAACTGTGGTCTAACAGTTGTAACTGAAAAGGACTAGGATGTTGCAGCTCCTTCAGGGTCGACAACCAACAGTCTTACCCTGATTGTCACTCCTGTCACGCCTCTGCTGTGGCACCGTTTAAGCATTTGGTACTACAGGTTGGAAACTCTCAGACTTAGAGTCATCATGAAATAAAAAGACCCTCAGAGGACTCACTCCAAAATGTTGATGTCTTGGTTATAAACTCTCCCTCTAATTAAGTTTATTGTTTTAGGTGGTGAAATCACACATTTGACCTTTGCCAGAAGGATGAGAAGTGATAGTTGATGAAATTATAAAGTGAAATGAACTTGGAAAACATGAGCACTATAACCAGTAGGACCTAAACCCAGTGCCTTCAGGTGCAAAGAATAGAACCTGAGGGAGGAGGAGGAGGAGGAGGAGGAGAATATACAGGATACACAATACAGGCTTACAAGGTAAATAGGCTGAAAAGCATTGATCAAAGGTTACTTTTCATATCCAGTCGAATCAACCTAAGTGTATTTCATTTTGTACTGTGAGTAGAATAGGTCTACAATAATTCTTTAATCTTTTATTAATATTCTTCACTCACCTTCCATGGGGGTGTTGCTGTCTGGACGATTTGCAAAGACCACATCCACATACTCCAGCTGCAGCCTCTGCAGGGAGCCTTTCAGTCCTGAGAACAGAAGCAGGGGGAAAAAATAAAAAACTGTTGGGCCCGGGATCTGATTCCGTGGCTTTGGCTCAGTGGTTCTTCAGCCTGCCTCGCAAGTGCAAGGTGCTAAGTTTGGTCCCCGGGAACCCCGCGCCCCCAAATTAAAAACTTTTGGAAAGAATTGAAGTTTGGTTTCCCTGAAGAATTTACTTAAAAAAAAAAAAAGAACTGAAATAGTTTTAAAAATACATTGAAGGAGACAGAGCAAGATGCTCCAGTGATCATTTACCTGCAGAAACACAATTAGAACAACTTTTGTTTTCTCTCCTCCTGGGGATTGAACCCAAGGCCTTCACACTGAACGACATTGGCAGCCCTTTAAAGACTTCTGTTTTAAATTTTGAGACAAGGTCCCACTAAGTCACTAAGTTGCCCAAGCTGGACTCAGACTCGCAATCTTTCTGCCTCAGCCTCTCAGAGTGCTGGGATTTCTGCCATGCACCACACCAAAATGCCCACACATGAAGTTACCTTCACAAGAGCTAAGCCAGATGAGAGGTTGTAGTACCTGATTTTAGCATAATAAGAAAATCTGCATTGAAGAAGGTAGAAAAGAATATGGGGTTTTTCTTATCCTTCCCCCAACTCTAAGCAGTGAAGCAGCCTACAGAGAGATGCCTCCTGTTTGGGGAAGAAAAGGAAATTAAGTGTGGTCTTAGACTTGGAAACCAGAACTTGGTCAGCCATTTTCACCGTGCCTCACAGCCCCTGCCCCCAGACAGGGCTCATGGACGAAGCCTCTGGATCCACCCAGGGCCAGTTAAAAACCTGCAGCCTTAATTCGATGGACTTCTATTCCAGCCTCATGACTTCTAAGTGTGGCACAGGCCTAAGCTACACCAGTGCCTGAGGATGTGCAGGTCAGGGTCGCCCAGCTTAGTATCATCCGCCTTCATCTCACTCCTCCAACCTCGGGCAGCGCAGCTTGGAGAAAGGTTTTACTTGCTTGTGGGTTATGGCAGAGAAGTAAGTGTAGGACTGTGACTTGGAACTTAGTGCTGCCTGGCAGAAGCCGGCTAGTGTCCAGGGACAGCACAGGGCAGAAACCTGCAGCTCTGCTGAAATGGATGTCACTTCTGATTGGATGCAGCGGCATCAGGCCAGAAACTGCAGCATCAGGCTGGCCAGGGGAACATGGGCCTTGGTCCTGCCTCTGGGCTTCGGTGGTCTCGGTAAGCTGAAGGCTCTGGAAGGGACGCAGTGTTTGGTGCCCAGGTCTGGACCTCTAGGGAGAAGCACAATGCGGGGTGGGCAGAATTCAGGGGCTATAGATAGGTGTTTGGGCCCAGCCTGGCCAGTGGACAGTAGCAGACTCAGTGAGTTTGCTTTACCCTCTTTAGGCACAACTAGTTCATCTCATACAGCACACTAACTGCAGATTTGCAACAAACTTAGGCTAGGTGCACCCTCTATTACTGAAGCAGTGACAACACAGTGACCGTCAGCTTGTGGCATACGTGGGCCTAGGGTGCCATCTAGTGCTCAGATAGTGGCACTGACTTTAGGGTTAGGACAAACAGCCTGCTTGGAATTTCTGGGAAGAGAAAAACACAAAACACAACAATTATAAGGACTGGAATGAATACTTAATCCTTCAGTGCACGGAGAATGATTGCCAACAATTATCAGAAACTTTTAGAGAACCCTGACATCATTTAACAGACACAATAAGGTGTCAGAAACGGACTGTAAGCTAATAGATATGTGTGATCTCTCAGTGAGAGAATTTAACTATTTTAAGGTAGCTAAGTGAATGTCAAGAAAACACAGAGAATTCAGTAACGGGTCAGAAAAATTTAACAAGGAGATCGCAATAGTTTTTTGAAAGTCTCGGAGCTGAAAAGTACAATAAGTAAAATGAGAATGAGATAGAAAGCATCAGTAGTAGAATTGGTCAAAGGGAAGAATCAGTGAGTTGAAGATAAGCTATTTAAAAACACACAGAAGGAAATGAAAAGGAATAAAGAAAGCTCATGGGAACTTCGGGAAAATAATAAAAGAACAAATACTCAGGCATTGACTTTCAAAAAGTCTTGAGAATGCCAAAGGAGTTGTAAATGTATTCAAAGAGATAATAACAGAAAAACTTCCAAATCTAGGGAGGACACAAATATTTACGTAAAGGAAGGTCAAAGATCATCCATCAGATTCAGCTGAATCAAACCTACTTGGCGTAGGTCATATCAAACTCCCAAAGAGACAATCCGAAAGTAGTTAGAGGAAAGAACACATAAGAATGTTTTAATTGACCCTACAGCAGACTTCTCAAAGGAACTGGGATGATTTATTCACAATGCCGAAGGGGGAAAAACCTGTCAACCAAGAGTACTGTACCCAGAAAAACAGTACTTCAGAAATTAGGGAGACATAAAGACATTCTTATACATACAAAGGCCAAATTCATCACCATGACACCTAATTATTTATTTTATTTTATTTTTTTTGAGACCGGGTCTCACTACGTAGTTGCGACTGACCTGGAACTCACTGTGTATCCCAGGCTGGTCTCAAACTCACAGTGACCCTCCTGCCTCAGCCTCCCGAGTGCTGGGATTACAGGTGTGCACCACCACACTTGGCAACACCTATTTAATAGGAAGTGCCAAAAGGAATTGTGCAAATGGAAACAAGGGGGCACTAATGGGTAAGAAGACATTGGGAAGTGTAAAACTCACTGGCAAAATAACTCACCATATAGAAAAATTTAGAATTCTCTATATAAACATGGTGCATAAGACACATCTTTAGTATGATGACAAGAATAGTAAGAACATATTAATGAATAGGCAATATAAGAAAATATGAGTACCAAAAATGCAAAATATGGAAAGGAATGGAATGAAAGTATAGAGTTAAAATTCTTTTTTGTTTTCTTTCTTTATGAGCAAAGTTAAGTTGCTGTTATTTTAAAATAACCCATTAAGAGATTCTTTGTTAACCTCATGATAGCCACAAATAATAAGCAAAGAATCAAAACATACGATTAGAGAAAATCACTTAAACACAAAGGAAGATAAAGAGAAGGAGGAAAAAGAAGGAACTGCAAAAAAAAGAACAAAACCAAACCAAACCAAAAACAAAACCCAAACCTTATAAAATAAGTAATAAAACAGCAGTAGTAAGACCTTACCTATCAATATCTCATATGTAAATGGATTGATTTATTTAATTAAAAACATATAATTACTAAATAGATTTTTAAAATGCTCAAACTAGGTGTGGTGGTACATACTTGTAATCCCAGCACTCAGGAGGCTGAGGCAGGATGACTGCAAGTTCAAGGCCATTTTAGGCCACATAGTAAGTTCAAGGCCAGACTGAGCTACATAGTGAGACCTTGTCTCAATTAAATTTAAAAAAATTAAAAATACTCAATTATATATTACTTATAAAAGTTCATTTCATTTGTAAGGACATGCATATATTCAAAGTAATGAGATGAAAAAAGGTATTCCGGAAAGCTATATTTTTTATCAAATAAAGTAGACTGTAAATCAAAATCAGTAAAAAGAGATAAGGCGAGTCATTTTATAATGATCAAGTGATCAGTTCACCAAGAGGAAATAACAATTATATGTATAAACGGTCATTAAATATCAAAGCACCTAAATAGATAAACATTAATAGGCACAAATGAGACACAATTCCAATAGGGTAACTGGGGACTTTAATGCCTCTCTTTCTGCAATGTACTGTACATATCATCCAGAAACAGTAGTTAAGGTGCCCCCTAGACCAAATGATCTAACATATCCGCAGAATGTCCCATCCAAACAGCTGCAGAATACATGGTCTCAACAGGTTGTATAGCATTCTTCAGGACAGATCTTACTGTAGGCTGTAAAACTAGTCAGTACATTTAAAACACCAAATATAGCAAGTATCTTTTCTGACCTCAATATTATAAAAACTAGAAAATAATAAGTAAAAATTTAGAATCTATACTGGTACGTGGAAATTAAGCAGCATGCTCCTGAGCACTAGTAGATACTTGGAGAAACTAAGAAGTAAACTGAAAATTTTCTTGAGACAGATGATAATGGGAACACAACAAAATCTATGAGATATAGCAAAAGCAGTACATAAAGATTGCAGTAATAAATATCTGCATCAACAACAAAGACTTCAAGTAAACAATCTATCGTGAGCCTCAAGAAACTAGAAAAACAAGAGCACACCAAACTGAAAGCAGAAAGAAAGAATAAAGATCAGAAATAAATGAAAAAAAGAAAAAATTAAAAGATCAAAACAGAGTTTCTTTTTAAAAAAAATTAAAGAGATGGCGGAGGGACAGAGAGGAGGGAAAGTGGACACAAAAAGAATTAAGATGTGTTATGTACATATACCAATTCTCCAGGGTGAGTGTACTAATTACGTACTGCAGACATGCACTAATAAAAATAAAAAGGATAAAACGGACACATCCTCATCTAGATTGAGATAAAAAGAGGAAGCTGGGCGTGGTGGCCACACCTGTAATCCCAGCACTTGGGAGGCTGAGGAAGGAGAATTGCTGTGAGTTCGAGGCCAATCTAGGCTGTATAGTTCAGGGCCAGCCTGAACTACAAAGAGAGACCCTGTCTCAAAAAAACAAAAACAAACAAACAAACAAAAAACCCCCACAAAAAAACCACCACCACCACCAACAACAACAAAAACCTCAAGAGACAAAACAGAATCATGAGAAATTATTTTGAACAACCACACACCAAAAATTTGATAATCTAGGAGAAATAGATAAATTTCTGGACACCTACAGTATACTAAGAGTGAATCATTAAGAAATAGAAAACCTGGGGCCAGGGATTTAGCTCAGTTGTTCTGCCACCTGCCTAACAAGCGCAAGGAACCAAGTTTGATCCCTGGTACCCCCCGCCCAAAGAAATAGAAAACCTGAACAGAGCAAACATGAGTAAAAAGATCAAATCAGTAATAAAAAGAAAGTCTTCCAACAAAGCAAA